TTGACAGGGTCTTTTCACCAAGAGCATCATTTGAAAAATGGCAAATGTCCAGGTAGGAATGTGTTCCATTAGTGCATTTCTGACATAAGAAAACTAACACCAACTTGACAAGAATTTGAGAAATTTAATTTCTATTGCTACGAAGCACCAGAATCCTGTTTGAGTGGGTGCTGATGGGTTTATGAGTGTCTCATTGAGTTCAAGTCAGTGTGAGAAATAGCGCCTGAGATTAAGGGGAAGCTGTAATAGGAACTAAGACCCAATTCTCCAGCGACTGAAATTGTATGGCCTTCCACTTTCAGGAAAGATGTTTGCTGGCCTGCTTATGGCAGACGCACTAGTTCCCTGCAGCCACCCAAGATTCTCTCCAAGCTCTTAAGTGTGCAAGGAGGAAGTGAGGACTGGTGTCTGAAATACCTCATATCTGGAAAACCAAGGGTGACTACTCCTGTGGTGGGCAGGGGGGGGGGGGCGGCTAGCAAGAGGTCTTGGCCTCAGGCTCACTGTGTTGGTCAGTTCTCTGTTACTGTGACAGAATACTTGAGAAAGTCAATCTAGAGGAGGAAAGATTTATTTTAGCTCATGGTTTCAGAGGCTTCAGTCTATAGTCACTTGACCCTATCTCCTTAGGCCTGTGATGAAGCAGAACACCATGGTGAATGAGCACAGCAAAGGGAACTGCCCATCTCATGACGGCCAGAAAGCCAAAAGAAAGAGGAAGGGTCTAGGACATCTTGCAACCACATAATAATCACCACTACTGAGGGCCAGGGATACCTGCAGCCCCTTCTACCCTCATAGATCTCTTATTATGGCGACTAAGACCACCCTCTTTGTTGATTTGGGGGTTTTCCCCCTAAGCTAGTTGAGCATTTCTGAGCATTTCTACTATTTAGGCTTGAATCAGTCCTGACAAATTCTCTAGGGCTCTCTCTATAAGTATCCTTCACCCAATATCTGCCTGAGTATTTCCTTTTGCTAAGGCTTGGGTGTCTCAGAAACATCCCACAGGTCACCTTGCAGTGGGGCTAAAGGAATGAACAGCTTGGAATGGACAAGTGGAAGGTGCCGAGCAGTTACACTCTAATGTCCCAAAATGCAATGAGATGGGGACCCACTGGTACATAATGGTGGAAGGACTGCTCTGAACTCTACCTGCTGAGTCTGTGGGCCATAGGGAGGCACTGATGGCTTTTGAGCAGAGCGAAGGCATACCATGTTCTGCAAGAGGCAACAGGAGATTTATAGGCACCACGGGCAAATGGAGAAGCGGCCACATGGGAGAGGGATGGGCACCTGGGATGGAGAGGAGGGAGAGCTTTCAGGGGGTGACAGAAGGGAATTTTGGGCAACAATTCATGCCTCTGCTTGAGGTATCATTCTTATAACCCACAGACAAAGAGCAGAGGTAGGTGACACTTAGGGGCAGAATGGGCACCTACAGCACTGAAGGGGTCTGCAAGACATCCACTCAGAATCATCAGTTCAGAGGTGCAAAACCTAACCTCAGCATGGGTGGGCTCCAGAGCCCTCCAGCCCAATCTCTCATTGAGGCCCAAAGACAGGAAGGGACCTACCAGAGACCACTCAGCTCATCAATGCAGGAGGCCCGGATCCTGTCTCTGCTGGAACCTCAACCTTAATGCCCCCCTGGAAATCACCCCAGGAGCTCAGTTAGTCCTGGTCTTGCCCACTCACGGGGAAGTAGGGCCTGTGTCGGGAGGGCCTTGAACAGTAAATAATGGGAAGAGTGAATGGAGAAGGTTCAGTAGCCACAAATCTCTTCAGAATTTTAAAGGGAGCTAGGGAATATTGACACAAATTAAATCCAATAAAACATTCATTTAATTAAACTTTAAATGATCCAAATATTTGCTGTTTGGTTAATATTTGTGTAGCTGACAGGAGTGGAATTACGATGGTTCTGTCAGAACACGCGCATTCTAATTTTGCATGAGTTTTTCCTGCGCGAAGCGAATGTCTTTGTACATACAAATGATGGGGAATGCAATCAGGGAATGTGTGGCAACCAGCTACCCTCATGGGGGGACTCAAGGTACAGGGCAGGCTTCCAGCTCCCACTTGGATCTGTTTGCTTGTTTGTTTTTAACCCCATATTCCAGGCTCCTCCAGAATCTTTTCTAAAACTGTTTGAAAGATATGGTCTGGGGGCCACATGAAGGAGGGGATCGTACACTTCACATGGGTCCCAGAACCCTTGCCCACCCTCCACAAGAACTCCCAGCTACCCAGACCCTCTTCCATCTTGGAAGGCAGTTGTTCTCAGGCCTCAGGGTATCACAGAACCCCCTGGGACACTCACCCCACCTGCTGAGAGTCTGTAGCAGCTACAGGCAGAGAGGCAGGACCCAAGTGATGGCAGGTGGTTTGGGAACCACACCTGAGAGGTAGGGCTCTAGGGCCCAAGGGAAACCCCGCCTCCTCCAAGGGCCCCTCTCTGTCCTCCCTGTTGGTCCTTCCCTTCTCCTGAGGGAGCTCAAGTACAGAGACAGTATAGGATCCTTTTGAAACTAACCTGACTTCTTCCCAAGCTCCACCTACCCCCTCCCCGGCTGGGTTCCTAGAGAAAGATGCAGCTAAACACTCCCTCCATTGGACAGCCTAGTCCCAGCTGACCACTTCAACAGTCCCTGTAAGAATGTTCTGTGTAAGAAAAATGCATCTCCATGTGTTCACCTCCCGGCTGCCCTCTTGGCTGGCTTCTGGGGGATCAGGGAAACAACTCAGCTGTCCTCTGCTGCCTCGGTTTCTACTCAAAGACCTCCAGGTCACCCTGTCTGGGGACACTCAGGGCTAAGCTCGGCCCTGCTTATGCTGGTTTGAGCCAGCAGTCTAAAGCCAGGATGCTGCTCCCCACTCAAGCTGGGCCTCCCGTGGCCCCCACCCTGTCCCAGCTGCCACGAGTACCTCTTGAGGCTCAGGGCCCTGGTCTGGAGCCCAGTGTGGTCCTTGAGTGCAGAGGTCCAGAGAACCTCACCACCTAGTTAGTGGGCTCCCCGGAGCACAAGGGGTTCTGGTTCACAGGTGGGTGGGAAATAAGCTATGGAGGGAGGGTGCAGCATCCTCCTAGAGCAACCCCCCCTTGAACCTCCTCCCTTACCCACCCATAGATCCCTTCTTATTTCCACAATCTTCTGGGACATGAGGAGCATTCCATACCCTTCCAGCTTCCAGAACAAAGCACCTGACCATCATCCAGTGAGAAATACCTCTCCACTCAAGAACTCTGGGTTCTCTTCCCCAGAGTCGGCAGCATCAGAACAATTTCAGCAAATTCTTTTTCTCCCCGTAAAAAAAAAAAAAAAATTCTTTTTCTTCCCCCCGTATCTCCAAAGCCTGGGATTTGCTGCAGAGAGGCTGGTACCTTCTCTCTCTTGCCCTGAGCAATAAGCCTCATGATTCAGAGGTGGGAGGGCAGCAAGCAGGACATGATTTAGGAGGGAACTTGAAATGCATCACTGTAATGTTTGTGAAATATTACGCCAGCTGCATCTGCATCCATCACTGGGTGTTTATCTTTCTTCACGTGGCTCCTTCACCGGGAGTCACATTTTTTCCTGTGTGGGATCGCTCCCTCCCCACTGGCCTCTTGGTTCTTCAGCTCCTTTATTTCCATTTTCTCTGTCTTTTATCCAATAAGCATCGATGAAGCACCTAGTGGACCTCTTGCTCATCTTTGTGGACCCAGGGCTGGGCCACTAAACATTGGTGGATGAGGGAAGAAGGGCTTTGCTGCTCTAAATCTGACCTTGGGCACCTGCTTTGAGCTCACTATCCTGCAGTGCGGTGGACCTGAAGGCCTGCAGCTGCTCTCTCCTCCCCCACCCCACCCCACCCCCGCTCCCCCACACACTGGCAAGAGAGCTGAGCCCAGATGTGCTACCTGCAGTGGTTCTCCTGCCTGGTCACAGCTCACAAATGTCCCGCTGAGTTACAGAACTCAGCTCCTAACTCTGTGCTTTGTTCCAGGCTTTTTAGAGGACACACCTGTCACGATCGATCACCCATGTCCCAATAGAATAGTAAGAATAAACAGAGCTCTCGGCATTTTGGCCAGCATCCCAGAATATTCACAGACCCCCAAAACCAGTCTGTCTCCCTCAGCTCATGCCACCTCTGGTTGGTGCGCCAGTCCCCTGGAGTGGGCAGATTTGGAGGAAGAAAGAAGGAGCCAGTCCTCTCAGTGGGCTGTGACTCTCCAGAAGCCTGATCTCATTTTTGCATTTGAACAGCCTGAGTTTGATTAATTTTTCATAAATTGTGAAAATTTTAAAAAGCAAATGATGGCAGGGAAATATTTTAGACCCTTCCCATTTGCCTGAGGAGTGATCAATCTTAATGCCATTATCAAATGTGAAATAGCAAGAATTAATAATTTGGTCAGCCTGAAATACATTTCAAAAATTTAAAGGCCACAGTGCATGGTCACAGAACAAAAATCCAAATCCAAGTTTGGCAAATCCTCAGACAGAAACAGACCTTCAAAGGTCAGCCAGTTCATTCCCCAGACTTCAGACAGTGCAACCTTTAAATTGCCCTCAGATGGACGAGCTACCTGTCGGCTCACCCAGCAGACCTTGACTGCCCTTAGCAAGGCTCAGACTTCATTAGGCCAGGGGAGCTCTAAGCGGTGCACCCCACAGCTGGCACCCTGGTCTCTGCAAGATGGCCGTGTGGTCCTGGCTGCTAGAATTATTGGATCCACTCACAAATCCATGGCCCAGATGGTTCCCCTGCACGTTGGCTGGTTCCTGACCTGTTTTGACTCACAGAGCCTTTTTGACATTAGACATGAGTCATGGCTGTTCTTCCAGCAAAAGTGCTCCTCTGTACATTTACTAAGCAGGTTATAAACCATTGTCAGGGGCCTTGCAGCCCCTCTGGGCCACTGCCCCTGGGGAAACCCATGGCCATTCACCTTGGGTTGAGATTCCACACTTTGGGCCTCTACCTAACCATCTTCTCCTTTCCCTTTGCAGAAGTGGTTCAGCTCAGCCTCGCCCCAGAGGACAGAGTCAGTGTGACTACAGTGACGGTGGGACTGAGCACAGTGCTGACCTGTGCTATCCGTGGAGACCTGAGGCCACCAATTGTCTGGAAGCGCAACGGGCTCACCCTAAACTTCCTGGACTTGGAAGACATCAATGTAAGCTGCCTGGCACTTCCACTGAGCTCAAGGGTACTTCCCAAGAAAGTCAGCTGTGTAGCACACCATGTAACCGTGGCAGGCCAGAGGGTTTCTGTTGAATATCCCACATCGGGTGACTTTCAGACCTATTGTCAGGCTAAAGGTGCCAGAAGAGCTAAGTCCCAGAGAGAATAGAATGAGTGGCGGCCATCAGACAGGCAGCCATGCCCAGGTTGAGAAAAGGGTGCACTGACTAGGAGAGGAACAGCAGGTAGGTCAGGAGGCCCCAGGAGCCTACATTAGCAAAGACCTGGAGGAAGCCCTAGAATGGGCTGTGGAGAGCAGTGGACTGTGTGGCCTTTCACATCCCGCAGGCAGATGGGCCATGAGCCAACAGAGAGCAAAATCAAGCAGGAGGCCCTGGAGCAGGAGACAGAAGGTGGCTGGGGCCTTTAGGGGGTGGCTCTAGGCCCAACAGCTTGGTAGGTGTAGACAGCTGGATGTGGGAAAAAGGGTTGTCCCTGTGGAGGGCAGAGGTAAGCCATGGAGCTGGGTTGGCTGGAGGGCAGGTGTCAGGTGAGGAGGTAGAGGGAAACCAGGCCAGGCCAGAGGGACCTTCTTTCTTGGGCAAGGAAATGAGGGTTGATGACTTGAGTGGTACTTTTTGGCATAAGAGAGCAGCTAAGACCACTCAGCTAACTTGGCCAACAGCAGATGCTATGGAACCAGGAAGCTGAGTTGGGGGTCCCAGCCTCACCCATATCGACTTTGTGACTTTGAGTAATTCCTTAACCTACTGATTTTTTGATGAATTAATCTATAAGAAAAGCAGCATTAGCAGTACCGCCCTTTCATTGGACTTGAAGAAGTGGAATAATCCAAGTGTATTTATTGGTCTAGATTTGGCACAAGGACGATGTGACTTCCCAGAAGTTCATGGGAAAGCACAGTGATGTCACCCATGTAGTGAGCTGCCAGGACAGCTGATGGGTGTCGGGTGAAAATAATAGGAATACAATTTTTAGGCAGAAGAGGGGCTGCACTGGTCTCCGGCTCAGAGGAGCACAGCTGGACCACAGTGAGATGCTTGTGGAGAGTCGTTGGTCCCTGCTAAAATCAGTGAGGAGGTGGGGTACGGACTTAGTCAGAGGGAGCCAACCTGAGCTGTGTGGCCCCATGAGCACAGAGAACCAAGGAGTATCCCAAAAGCAGTCTAATTTAGGTTCCTTAGATGAAACACCATCCAGTCATCAACCCTGCCCCATAATGGAGTGAACCTCCCAACCCTAGGGCCATGCGGCATCATGCAGAGACTATAGTCAGCAACCTGCCAGCCACAAGGGATCAGCTAATCCCCATGACCTTGAAGGTCTTTCCAATGCTGAAGTTACTATGTGGGGTCAGACATCCAGCATGAATTATTGCAGGTACCACCAAAGTTGGGCCTGAGACTCTCTAGACCCTGGAGATCATGAGGGAAGCCAATGGAAATAGATCACCCTTCTGTAAAGTCCCTCCTGGTCAGAGCTGGCCAGGGAGTACCTTTTCTCTGCCATTGCCACACTGGGCAGGGTTGTTTTCTGTGATTCCCCACCCATTGGACATGCAGCCATCTCTGGGCACGCTCAACCTAGTGGGTATTGGATAGACAGATGCTGAGTGGGCAGAGTCCTTTGTCTTCTAGGCCTGAGATAACTAGGGCTTATCTGAGACCTTAGCAAGAAAGTTCAGTGTCCTATTTGTAAGAGTGTGCATGTGTGTGTGTGCGTATGTGTGTCTGAGTGTGTGTGCACATTGGGGTGCATGAGTTTGAGTATGCAGAATCTCTAGGTGGGGTGCAGCTTTTAAATGCATTTGGCCAGGTAGTAATTGATTCAGTACTAGGACAGGGCCACCTGTGACTGTCAGAGTGTCCGTGTGCAATACTTGGTGCTCTATTTAAAGGCATCAGAAATAAAGGCTGAGGCAAAACTCCTCTTAATGTACTTGCCACAGTTAATTAAATTACTTTGAGTGTTTTTCCCCTCCCTCCAACTTGCCTCCAGCACCGACTCAATTGCATTTCTACTTTTCACAATAAGGTTAGCAATTTGGATAATCGTGGGTACAACCAAAGATTAATGGCCCCTCATTACCTCCCAGGAAACGCTGCTCATGGTTGAGTCAGTAGCCTGCAAATACGCAGGAGCCCTGCACTTCTCAGGAATACCCACGTGAGGGTACAGGGCAGTACCTGCCCCGCAGGACTCCTCCTCTGACACATGCAGACGTACCATAAAACACATGCACCACGCACCTCCTCCTGCCTCAAGGAGAGAGGCAGTGCAGCCTGCTATGGAAGGGCACAGGCTCTGGGGTCAAAGGAACCTGGGTTTAAATCTCAGCTCTGCCACTTTCTAGTTAAGTAACTTAGCAAGATCTCTTGACCTGTCTTATCTTGATTCCCTCATCTGTGAAATGGGGAGAGATAGCTGCGCCTGACTTACAGGATTATAGTGAGGATAAAGTGAGAAGATACATGTAGAGTTTTTAGTATGTAATATTCCATAAACACTATATCACTCTCATTATTACTATTATTACCTCATTAATACTGTTGCTGCTGCTGCTGCTACTGCTGCTGCTGCAAAACAACATTTGCAACACCTTGTAGCCCGAGTCCCCATTAAGCAGCCAGCAGCAACCAAGGAAGCTCCCAGTCAGGCAGATGTGGCCCTTGGTGAAGCCCAGGGATGACAGCAATACCATCTGTTAACCTTGATCCATCCAGGGAGAGAGACCAGCCACCTCCAGCAAACCCAGAGCAAATCTGGGGCAGCTGCTGGACTTCTCTGAGCCTCTGAAGAAATGGAGGTCATGGTGTCTCCTGGCTTGGGGAGTCTCAGACTGAGTATGCACGGGAAGCACCCAGCTCAGTGCCTGGAGCCCAGAAGGTATTCATCAGTGGCAGCCCCACTTGGGCCAGTGAAGGAAGTAGCCCTAGGAAGAAATCAGGCTGAAGAGAGCTAGATCCAGGGTCCTCAAGAATCATGGGGTATTTCTGAAGCAAGAATTAATCAAGGAAGCCAGGCACAGTGGCCCACAACTATAATCCCAGCAGCTTGTGAGCCTGAGACAGAAAGATCACAAGTTCAAGGCCAGCCTCAGCAACTTAAAGAGTTCCTAAGCAACTTAGGGAAACCCTATCTTAAAATAAAAAATTAAAAAGGCTGGGAATGTGGCTCAGTGGTTAAGGGTCCCTGGGTTCTATCCCAGGTACAAAAAAAAATTAATCAGGGGCAAACAGCCCAGGAGGGCACCCCTGGTGGAGCAGAGATTCCAGGACTGATGGGACTCCTAGAGTCCATTAGCCTGTGGTATCTCCCAGAAGAGATGAAGTACAATCACCCACGCTGTAATTACTGAGTGCCACACAAACACAGCTTCGAACAGGGGAAGCAGATCAGCCTTCAAAACCCGAGGCAGAGAGATTAGAGAGCACAAAGAGGTGTGGGCCTCCTTTCTTTGTCATTTGTATGAGACATCTTGATTGGCAACAAAATATTAATCACTTTTTCACGACTCCCTTAATGAGACGCTTTCATGGGCAACAAAATATTAATTTGTCTTGTCTTATCTGTTAAGAATTCTGGTAATGAATTCAGTCACAGAGCTATTACAGAATGCCATCCTAATGACACATGTAATTAAACTTTTCTGACTTGCAAACATCAAAGATGCCTTGAGCATCAGAATAATATTTGATCAGAAAGTAAATGGACCCCTCTAGCCCAAAGCAAGTAAGAGCACTCTGCTCACATTCTGCAGTGAGCCACATTGGTGTCAGAAGCACTTAGGAGTCACCTGATCCTGTGCATGCCTGTCCAGATGGTGAAGACTGGGAGACATTCTTTGGACTGATTCACTTCCTAAATGCTGCAGGACCACAGAGCCAAAACACTGACCCCAGCCTCCAGTGGAACCAGACTTCCATGAATCCCTGTTCTAAGAGTGGTAAAAGGGGCTGTTTTAGCTGGGGCCTCAGAACATGAAAGGCCTAAGTGTTCACATAAAGAGTCGTGGTTGCCAGACACAATGCCTGTAATCCCAGAGGCTTGGGAGGCCAAGTCAGGAGGATCACAAGTTCGAGGACAGCCTGGGCAACTTAGCAAAACCCTGTCTCAAAATTTAAAAAATCAAAAGAGTTGGGGAGTGGGGGGGGGGGGGGGGGGGAACTTAAGGGAAAACCACCCCTGGATTCAATTTTTAGTACCACCAAAAAAAAAAAAAAAAGTGGGGGAAGGGTCTTTGTTGTTTGCCTGTGGCCAAAGGGAGCCACAGATTCTTGATCAGAAAATGACATGGTCAAATGTGGGGGCTACAGGTGTACCAAACTTCTTCCAGCATAAGATTAAATACTATAGGAAAGGCAGCAGAATACAACAGACACTAGTATGGCAATATGTAAATCAATGGATGTGTAACTGATGTGATTCTGCAATCTGTATATGGGGTAAAAATGGGAGTTCATAACCCACTTGAATCAAAGTGTGAAATATGATATGTCAAGAACTATGTAATGTTTTGAATAACCAACAATAAAAAATTAAAAAAAAAAGATTAAATACTGCCTCCAAGAAGGATTCTGAATAACGTGGGACTCAGATCTGAGGGGAGCCCTGCTGGTGCTCTTGGGTCATCCTTTTCTAACTTCCCCCAAGGCACCCAGGAGTGGAGCAGTGCCCAGGGTTCCCACAGGTAGTCAAGTCTCAGGTCACAGTGTCTTTGCCTTCTTAAGATTGTGGGAAGTCCAGCCTGGATCTGGTGTGCTTTGCCAGGATGCCCGAGCCACCGTGTGGCAGGAGGCTTTCACTTCACCCTGCCCAGCTTGCAGGAGAGAAACCAAAACCAGCACACAGCCTTAGGGACTCACAGAGCAAAGCTCCAAAAGACGGGCGCTCCCAGCAGAGGCAGCAGCCCAGGCCAGCGAGCTGCAGCCTCTCACAATGGCTCTCAGGATTATGACACTTTCTTCTGTT